CAGAGTGCAAGGCCCCATGTCTTGGGATTAGGTTTCTCTTCCCGGAAGTTAAGCGACGAACTTGGTGCTCGGTAGACCTCTCAGCAAGGACAGCTCGTAACGTCGGTCGCATGTGCCCACCCTTTATACATGCAAACCGGACCGGCTGATCGAGAGAGAGAGAGAGTGTGGATCAGACTAGCTTGCAGGTATGGGGCATATTGGCTGCACATCTCTCCAGATAAACACCTACTACTGTGGATGGGGGAAATCTTGCACCGCTTTTAAGATATGTTATTTAGCTTCACCCCGCGCCTCCTTCTTAACATTGCTATGAACACGGGGATTTACAAAATCGTCCCAATGACATAAATCTTGCACCACCCCGAGACGTCTGTCGTCAATGTTAAGAAGGGGGCGCGGGGTTGTTGCTTGGATGTGTACTCGAAACAAGGTGTGTAGGTGGTGCAAGATTTCCTCCATCCACCGTAGTAGCTACATGCTGCACGAATGCTGTCTCATGTTCGATCCTGAGGGCACCTGGGTTGCCATGTTTGTGTGTATGTTACGTGTTGCACTGCATGTTGTTTTCCGTGATCTACTACGTCGGTTGTTGCTGTGCGGTGTCTTGTTCTGCTACGCCTGCTCTCTTGTTCTTTTCTGAAACCATTGTTTCGTGGGCTCGAGTCTTGGACATGAGGCATCTAAGTGGTAAAGCTTGAAACATAGTTTGGTGTTGAAGCCGAAGTGTCCGCCTTTAGGATCTCCAAGTCGCTTTCAGGCCCACTTCACCGGAGCAGAGGAGCTCTTGCACCCCGGCTGAGATGCTCAGGACTAGCAGCCGATATTAAAGTACAGTAAGTTCTGCTGGTCGTTGCTGTCCCGTTGTGCCTCTTGGGCGACGAGTGCAACAGCAGCAGCAGTAGCAAGACCACCACTACCGCCGCCTCGTTACACAGACTGTCAATGCAACAGAGTGGTGTAGGTGTTGCAAGAAGAGAACTCGTTCCGTGCTGAGCACAATTGCAGCCTTGTTGGGTGCTTCCTGTTGCGTTTGGAGGTCGGCCAGAAGCCCTGACACATGTTTGAGGTTACGGCGCCTGTACGCGCCTATGCGTTTTTAGCGATTTCAGAATGAGGCGTTTTGCATGGATGCGCGCGGAACCACAGCGAGAGCGCAATCTCACAGAAAATTATGGTTCAGGCAGGTGCGCGAAACGCTAGAGGCTGAAGTAAACTTTGGGCCTAACTGCGTTTTCACTCGGGTTTTAAGCTCATTTTTGAAGAGGCTGCAGAACAAAACTTTATTTTAGAGAGAGTTTGTTTAAAGTACTGACTTGTCTTAGGTCTTAGGTTAGACTTAAGGTTAAGGATTGGTTTATGTTTGGTTGTACAACGAGGCGAAAACGCTGCAAATACCAGTGTTTTGGGCATGGGCGCAATATGAATGACGTTCTTATCCCTCCCCCTCCCCACCCCCCCACCCCCTTCACGAGGCGAAAACGCTGCAAACACCGAATGCGCAGTGATTGCGCTGATCTGCATGTTGTCAACTCCCTCCAACGCGCCCTCAGTCCCTCAGCCCCTAGGACCCAGAGTTCCCTTTTTTAGGGTTTAGGTTCCCTTATAACCCCCTTTAAACCAAAAAGGGCACCCTTTCTATTCCTAGGCTACTCTCAGCTCCAGGCCCTAAGACCCGGGAAACCTCGGAACCTCACCAAGCCGAGCTCCACGGAGCAGAAAGGCAAGAAGTGGCATCTGCTGGAGCGAAGGCGGTACGGTGCAATCTGGTCTGTTTGCAGGAGCTTCTCTTTTCAGGGTCGGGTTTAGGGTTTAGGGGAGGGTGGGTGGACCGCTGTGGCTTCGGGCTTATGGCTTATGATGTCTCATGTTCGCAGTGGCTGCGTCAGGGTTCGAAGACCGTAGATACGAAGCCTCGTTGGCAGGCCAAACAATCCCTTCACGCCAGTCAGACCCGACAACCAACTGGGAGTTTCCGACAACAGGGGACCCTAATATAGCACCCCAAATAGTAGCATCCTTATTCTAGGGACCCCCAAAAAGCTACCCCCAATTTTGGGAAACTCCCAACTCGAGAAGCAACTGGAGCTCCAAGTCTGATGCGTGGCGTATGTGGTGCACTTAAGCCCAAGCGTTCCTGAGCTATCCTAAGCGCAAAGTGCAACCGGCAAAAGTGGGTTCAAGTAATGCAGGGATCTGAATAGTTAGTAGGACGACTCCCTTATGGCCCCGATACAGCTGTAGTAGAATATGCCCTCAGAACCCCAGTCTAGTAATTATTGAGGCCCGTGGATCATGTCGTAACTACTTCTCAAGGCATAAATTTCCAAGTTCGCACACCTCAGCACAAAAACCTAAAGCCCCTGTGCTAAAAGCCCTGGATTCCTGTCTGAAGGCTGCCGTACTTGGAGACGGTAGATTTTTTGGGGGTTTGTAGATGGTTGTACGGGGGCCTTAACATTTTCAATAGGGACGGCTATTGGGGATAAGATGCTCGATAACTCCGGCCGTGTTCCGTTTTCCTTCGGTTCTATCGTTTCCATGCGCCCCAACGAAGGTGGCGGCAGAGTGGCGTCCAACGGCCTTGAACGCCCTGAAACACGTCGCACCTCGTCACCGATAGCTAGATGGAAGAATGGAGTGCGTTCAAATCAGCACACATGTATATATGTAAGTCGCATTATTCGATTAAGTATTCATGCAGTCAACTTGGCCGAAGGATTTGTTGGTTTATGGGCTGGTCGTGTTTTCTGAACTTGATTTGGTGCGTCTTTCACTGACTGTCTGACTGAATTGCGTTGACTGACTGTGTGTGTGTGTATATATATATATATATATGTTGTTTGTGTCTGTGTGCGTGTGTTTGTTGGTACAGAGCTAGGTATGTATGTATGTATGTACGTAGGTATACATGTATGTATATCTACACCCGCAGATGCATCCGTGTGTTGTCGAGTCCTAGCAGGATTTCCCTATGCTCAACCGCTCCCACAAACCCGGCAACGGTAGTAACGGTAGCTTCTACAAACGAGACTAGCCCCAAACCCACAGCACTCAAACACTCACCATCCTGCTCAAGGGCATAAACCATTGGAGAATCTGCCAATTGGAAGCGACATCCTAAGCTGACGCGCAGCATGAGTCTTGAGTTTCCCAGGTCCAGAATTTCAAGTCTCATCTCTACGAGTTGACGCCTCGTAAATTACTGCAAGGGCCTGACAGAATACCAAGACTGTTTCTTAATTAGGCGACATTATACACCATACCCGGTTCCAATTGGTACCACCGCTATATGAGTTGGCAAGAGAGGTTTCGAGCGCATGCTAGGAAGCCTCCAAAACGAGATGTGCACAGGCAGAGCCTCCCCTTTGAAGAATGCAGAATTCGACGTCGTGGGTGAAAGCCAGCGTTCACAGTGGCAGCAAACCGCTTTTGCTTCTCCTTGCAGCTAGACTACGAGGCGCAAAATCAGAACTTCATTTGTGTTTCATGTGCATGAAAAACTGCTTCGGAAGTGCCTAACAAAATGCTTCGAGATGCCGTTTGCTGGCTGCTCGGTGTCTGGTCTAGCCCGGTGTCTGGTCTAGCCTGCACTCAACGAAGCAAGGAAAACACATCTCATGGTTCTTGAGTCTCCGCAAAACTCAGAAGTGCGAAGGTGGAGTTTGTGGTCGCCTTCCTGTACTGGGACCACAGCCTTTACGAGTGGTTGGACAAGACGAAGGTGCGAAGAGCAAGTGTTCGGTATGTGCAGGCACTAAGCTTGGCCACAAGACTTTCTTCTTCTTAGTAGCTGAGTGGATACTCTTTACACTTTTTGGGTTCATATTATCCACTATAAAACTAAAAGTGTACACTTTGGGGGTGCTTATGAACTCAGCAGCTAAGTCTTCTAGAAGCTAGGGAAGATAGTGTGAGTAGTCATGCACTCTGTGTTTTGTATTACAACTATTGAAGATCTGTTGGCGCGGCTCAGGGATTGGAAGTTGAAAAAAGTGCCTTCACACCAGGGTCTTTGCTTCTGATAGTGCAGACTCTCATATTTCGGACCTTATGGTTTCGTCAAGCTAGTCGTGGATAGTGTTAAGTTCCTGGGCCTCCAGGGCAGAATCCGCACAACAAGGCCTCCTACGGGGAGTCCGTGTTGCGGCTGTATGTCCTCGTCTTGGCTGCCAGCGCAAACGATGAGGAAGCGGGAGCCCTCAGAAGTTCAAGGTCGTATTACTTCAAAGAATTCCTATGCCCTTGCCATCCCTTGCTTCACGGTTTTGAAAAACGAGCCTCCTCTCAACACATGCAACAGCAAGAAGCCGCAGTTCTCTAAGAAATCGGGGACTTCGAGGATGAAGTTTAAGTAAAGATAAATGCCTGTCAGTGCCCGACCAACGATCTCTGGTGCAATCAGCTTGATCATGGCCATGCTGTATATGAGGGATGATAAAAGCCCCCCGAGAGCAGCTTTCTAAGTAAATGCATCCGTAAGTTGAGAGCAATCGATTTCCTTGTAAACCGACAAGAGATTAAAAATACGATAACGGAGATGTGCCACATCCTACAATCCCAAACTCATCCAAAGTCCTGCAAAACGCCAAGCGTAAGAAAGACAATAACCGAATTTAGGGTCCGGCAAATGCGTGGGGAGTTTTCACGCACCCTCATATCACTCCACACATGCGAAGGGATCGATTGCATCTACTTCCGGTAACTCGCAACTAGGGCGAGCCGCGCGTCTGGTTCAAAGTTCTATGGAAAAGCCGACACTAACTTGCAAGCATTATCAGGTTGTGAGCAGACATGTGTAAGAAACAGTGCCCTTATGTTGATGGACAGAGTCTTGATACTTTGTCTCCGGCTGCTTGCCTTTCATACAGACCGGAATACACCGGGCAGAAGGGCCCGGTAAACAGCGCGAGCAGCTGTCGCGCCGATGGCAACGAGGAATAGCTGAGGACCTGCAACAGAGACCTAATGATGCAAAAGCAAAGGCGCCCGGCTGTGGCATGTGGGGAGCTGCTTTGCAGAAGACGACATACGGGGCCGGACGGTATTGGGGAGACGCTGGAATTCTGGAGCAGACCAGTGACTCCGAAGATGAGGACCAGGAGGGGCTGGAGGATGAGAGCATCAGCGCTTACCTCATGGAAGGATACCTGGAAGAGGGCCGGCGTAGACTCGGTCAGCATCTGACGGATGCGCAGCTCTTGGAGGAAGCAGCCTTTTCTCGATGTCCTCCGCCCCCGTCGCCGACCAGCGAAGCGTCACAACAACGCCGTGCTCTTGATGCAGAGCCTCTTTCGTTCAGACACAGGGCGAGCTCAGCCATGCCAGGACCTCGTAAGCCGTAAACCTTTATCGCCTTTATCTGCTCCAAGAGGCTTCAGTTCCGTGTGCTTTTGCGGGCCCCCTGCAGGACACTTTCGTCCAGCGGCGATGGGAGGTTTCGCGAACACCGCGGACAAAGTGAGCCTCAGGCTGAACAAAGACCTGGCAGCCACTGGGCAGTCTCAGGGCGACCGGGGACCTGGGGTTCTAATTGAGAGTCCCCTTAAGTTACATGCGGTCCTGCCGTAGTTATTTGTTTACATCTTTCAATCATACTTTCACTCATATCGTTATCGTATCCTGCTGTTCCATACGACAGTCTTCAGAGTAATGGCTGCTGATCAAAACTACCCTCCCTGCACAAGGCGAAGCGGACCGCAAAGGAAGTTCTTCAAATGACCGGCAAGCACTTGGGCCAGTTCGATCCTGTAAATGCCATTATGGCCTTGCACCGAGCACCTAGGCCTAAGCTTGCGGTAACCTTCTCCCTTCTTTTGTGGAAGCATATCTTCCAAGTCTTGTCAAGCTCCTTTGGATGCCGAGAGTCATGTGTGATGATTGGGTTCGAGTTTGCAAGGTCGGTCGCAGCAGGGACCGTGGGGAGGTGCAAGCAGAAACGAGTTTGCGGGTGACGTTGCGCCTTATCTGGTCTTCGGGCTTTTCGTCTCTTCTATATGTTTGTGTGTTTAGGTTTTCCTTTTTCTGAATTTGGGTTGACGGATTCCGAGTGCAGCCCGAAATCCCCTTCAAAGCTTAACTTTTGTACCCAGGTTAAGTTGAAATCTCAAAAGTAGAGAGGTAAACAGCCCCGCCATCATTCTAGACCTATTCAGTTTCAACCCACTCGAAAAACATCGCCGTGTAACCAAGCCCACCTTTCCTGGTGTTCCGTCGGACTGCTTGAGAGCTTACTCCGTGTTGGCAAGCTATGCTTCCTGTCGGACTCCAGGAACGCATTGGTGGACAAGGTAACCAGCATCGTGCATGAGGCCAACATGATCATGAGTTTCTGGAAAAGTTAGGAACTCTGTCGTGGCATGTAGGGCTTGTATGCAAGAACGGATTCGTGAGGACTCATTGTCGCCAGTGGCCACCAAAGTTTGGAATGTAGAGCGCTGGGATAAGGGGGTGACGGAGACGGGTTCTTCCTCGGCTGGGGAGTTTCAGGGCTCTTGTCTTGAGGACTTTCACGCCGCTCTGTAGCATCGATGGCTTCCCAGCAAGGTGTAGGGTTTTAGTTTTCTGCCGCCGCGAACACCAGCTGCAAAGACCCTGAACTCAAAACTATTTCGACCCTGCCGGACCCTACCCTCAAAACCAGGGAACTGCCAGCGGAAGACACGCAAAAGCATCCAAGAACGCACGAAAAGCAGCAAGCAGAAATGCTGTTCCTGAGTCAGCGGCACATACTTCCACAGTTTCAGGTTTTTCAGGACATCAAATGAGAAAGCCCAATCGAAGGTTTGCTCAACTATCGAAGTGCTCATGTTGACCGGGTTATGATGAGGATCCAATGACCTACGCTTTAGGTCCCTTTTCCCAGTAGGCTTAGACCCTGTTTTGTCACAACCTTTTCATGAAGAACTAACAGCATTAACAGCGAAAACACAACAACAAAACAGTGCAAACCAGAACTGACCTGTAGCCACATGGTGGTGCACCCCAGCCTTCGACCAAATCTGTGGACAAAATACACCATCCCCAAGCAACACAAAACCATTCTGAATACCTGTGCGACAGCTTAGAAGCCTGCGCAGAACCCCACCATTACCATACTCTTTTCAATAAGCCGATAGAAACAAACAGGGAAGGTCCATCCAAACATGGACATAGCCAGGTGCTCCTCATATGACAAATTGTTAACCGTCACCTCGAACGTCGGATTGACGGCGGCAAAGTCAAAAGCATTGTTTGGGTTCTTTCTTGATCGGGAGCCAAATTTGTCTAGCATAGCAAGGAAGGTAGGTGATTTGCCACTCAGCTTTGTTCGAAATCTTAGCAAGAACCCGCATGTGCCAGGAGGGATCGCAGCTGGAAGCAAAGGAGCTGGCAAAAACCTGCTGGGCTCTGGCCAAGCTGAGTATGAACTCGGCTCCTGTCATGGACCAGCTGTGTGAGAGTTGCGCTGAAATCTGGGGTGTCAGGGCTGAGTGGATGGACGTCCTGCCTTCCGGTTAATATAGGGGCCGAAATAATTACCAATACTATTGTGGCGGGTTCCTTATTGTAATTATAGTATAATGGGCCCAAAACCCTATTCTAAATATTAAGGCCCCTATATTAAAAGGCTTCGGGTTTAGGTTTCCGGCGTCTAAGTTCAAGGCTCAGGGTTCGGATTAAGCGAAGAAGACGGGTGTAGGACGTTCCGCCGTAGGGCTTGGAAAGAGTTTGGGGGGATTCGAAGTTCCAGGGCAGGTTTCACAGCAACCACTCCACAACTCGTGTTCAGCAATTTCGCCGCAAGGGCAGCCGGTGTCCGGCCTTGTTGTTTTCACGAAGACAAGGGCTTGAATAAATAGATAGAATCGGGTTTGGGAGGTGTGACGCACTAGAATCATGTTGGGACCACTAGGGAAGACGGCTCAAAAGACTAACTACTCAGACCACTAAAATCATACTGCACTTCCGCCCCAAGAGTTGATTTGGGTCGCTGCCATACCATGAAACCACCTATCTGCCCCGCGGTTCTAGCTGAACTGAAACCCTTGAGTAGAGTTTAGGGCCTTTCGGGGTACAGTGTGAAGCCAAGGTCCCGGGCCTCCACCCTCCAAAGCTTCAAGTGTATTTCGAGTGTGGGCTTTGGGGCGCCACCCCGAACTTCATTCTTCTCACTCAGCACATGAACAAGCCCTGCGAGGGTTAACCCCTCACGTACGTAGAAACTACCCCCAAACCCTAAGGACCCTAAGTGCAGGAAGTCGTCACCGATCAGCTGTCGCAGAGGGCTGCCGAGTTGGATGGCCATGGGTTGTCCAACGCCGTTTGGGGCTTCGCCACCATTCGCCTGGGTGGGATGCCTACACGCTGAAACTATACTCGGTCATACTATAAGGCAAAAGGCTCAAGCATCTACACCCCTGACCTTAACCTCCTTAAACGCCAAAGTCCACAGGTGACCAACGACTTGTCCAGGCCGTAGCTGGGGAAGCACTCCTGCGAGTATCGGAGTTCGGCACGCAGGGACTTTCGAACTGCGCCTGGGCATTGGCAAAGCTTCTCGGAGATGTTAGTCTAGGTTGTTCTGTGGTACACTGCTTTGTTTTATGTTACTGAGTCTCACTGTAACCTTGAACTAACGAAATGCGCACGTTTGAGGGTGTTGCTGTAGCATTTTGGTGTTCACGGGATGTTCGCTTCTTGGGGTTATGGGTGGGGTCGTTTCATGTTTAAATCAGAAACCGATGGAGAGGGCATTCAAAAGCAGGGACATGGAATAGATGGTGTCTGATTCTACACCGAGTGTAGGATTCGCTTGTTTCTGCACTCACTACGTGCCTGTCTACACTCACGGCATCTAACACAACTACGTGCATTAGTATCATTGTTTCATTCTGTGGATCGTTCCGTTTCCCCTGGGCCCCTTTCCGGCGATGCAATTTTTGTCTGAATGGCTACTAGGCCGTTATGAGTTGGGCACTGAGTCTTCAGGGCCCACCTAGTATGGTTAGGGACGCACCATGAAAGCTATGTTAAATCCACAGGACTTACGCCTTAAGTTGCCTCAAGGGTGCCTTTTTGCATGGTGCCCCTCGGGTAAAGTGTCTTCACTGTCGAGCAAGCAGCCTTGGAGGAGAGAACACCTATGAACCGCAAAAGCGCAGCAGTAGCAAAGGGGTGTACACAATCCGAGTAAGGTACTACACGGAAGCTTAGGGGTCGATTGTGCAGCCGTTGTCACACAGCAGCATATAGGAGTAGTGTTACGCACTTTCGCAACCCCTACACCCTAGATCCGAAGAGCATCACAGGCTATCCTACCACTCGCCGCAGCTTTTCTTGCTCTTCGCGGAGCGAGCGCTGCACAGCGTCGCGGATTTTGATCCGCAGGGCCTCGCGAACATGACCTGGGCTTTTGCAACTCGGTCACTATAGGGTTTGGGGGTCTCGGTTTGCCTTCGGGTTTGCGGCTAGGCCCTGGACAGGTAAAGACCCGACCCTCAACTCTGCCAAAACCTCAACCCTACACCCCAACCACTCGTGCGGACTGTCTCAGTTGTGAAACAACCTGAAATCAAAACCCCCAACCTGAAACCCAAAACGATCTGCAAGGATCCCAAACCCAAGCCTCTAAGCCCTCAAGCCCCTAAGCCCCCTAAGGCCCCCTTTGCAAAACCCCCCCCCCTACTTTTTGAACCAGCCCTGTTCAGGCAACCCTGGCCTTGCAGCATGCGAAGTTCACCGACGTCATCGCCCGGGAGCTGCTCCTGGGCATCTCCCGGCAGCTCGGCAGGGCAGGCGTAGCGGGGTTTTTTCTTACCGTCTCAGGGATCACGTTGAGAGTTCCTATACGAAGTACCACAACAGACGGTGGTGGGGGTCTGGTAGTCAGAAAAAGGGTTTTGCAGGACATGCTGAGTTATCTCGGGACTGTGAGGGGAAATGGTGAAAAAACTCAGTTCATCGAAATACGGGATGTTGCAACCTAGACAAGAGGCTTCGAAATTGTTGAAAGTCAAAAGTAAAGTATCAGGAGACTCAGTAAGCACGTAAATGTGAGGTAGCCGTCGTGAAAACTACCTGTCACCGCAATGAATGTACTAATGATTCTAGTTTTACCTTAACACAAAACTTAAAGCGGCAAGCATTTTGGATCAGTTTTTTGGGGGGGAGCTCCTAGAAACAGAAACGGTACTAATCTTCTAGCTTGCCATGTCCCTGAAGAAGCCATTCTAGGATCACGCTGTCATCTAGGAGCAAGTCTGCCTGGGTGTACTTCAAAAGTCTGCGACAATGAAGAAGGATGACGTTGCGGTTAGGGTTTTGGGGGTGGGGAGCTTAAAATCCTGGGCTCAAAACCTAAAGCCCTAAACCCTAAACCGTGAACCCAGGTGGTCCTCCCAGCACATTGGCAATACCACCTGGTCCTTCGCCAAGCTCCGCGTTTATGCTCCGGAGGTTTACTTTGCCATCTCCACAGAGGCACTGCTGAAGCGTTGACTCGAAGGGTTCGGAGCTTGGGGCATACGGTTTCTAGGACTCAGGATTTATGGCTCGAATTTTATGCAGTTAAGCCGGTTGAAGCTCCATCCTGTCTGAAATCTGCCAGGTACTTCAAACTCTGCCGTCCTGGAATGCGCAGGGTCTTTCCAACGTGGCTTCTAAGATCCGAACTTTGGGTTCGGGGTCGAACGGGAGTCCCAAGAGTCAGGCTTGTGGTCTGGGATAGTCTGCTAATAATAATAATGATAATAATAATGATAATAGTAATAAATAATAATGCTATCCCTATACGGAATTAGACAGCCAGGACTTGATGCAGACATTGAGGGAGGCTCTTGCCTGAATCACTGTTCCAGCCTTTCAACCTCCCGGCCCCGAAGCACGGTCGCGCAGCAAAGGTTTGGGCGTTTGCTAAGCTGGAGATACACGACCGGCCGTTCTTCGGCGCCCTCGCGGTCGACATAGCTGCGAAGGTGCACCGCTTCCAGCAGCAGAATTTGGTGAACGTGCTCTGGGCGTCTCGGATCAAATAGCAACCGCGAGATCCTGACGTTCCAGCCCAGACAACACCCAGGCGCGAGAGCCGAAGTTGTGCACGTGCTCATCGGTGGTTCCCCACATTCGGGTTCTCCTTGTGTTGCTGACGTTATTGAGAAGAGCGCCTACTTTGCAAAGCTACCTCATGTTCAAGACTTAGGCTTATGCGAAAGTTCACCAAGAAGAAGCAGATCTCTTTGCAGCTGCTGCTGCCAGTGTGCCTAGCCTTTCCTTGGATGAAGGCACCAGGAAATGAGAGCCTAAGGCAGTAATTCAACTAAAAACCCCTCAAGCCGAAGAAGCCCCAACCAACAGCCCCTGAACCCAATAGCAGTATTCAAAACCCACAGCCTCAAAGCCCTAAACGGTTGAGCTCAGCGGACTTAGTATCTGAAGCCATGCCTGCCTTGTGCGAGTGTGTGAGTCGAAACGGTTGACGCCTCGACCCGAAGACCCACTTGGATCAACAGCGTTACAGCTGGTCCATCTGCTCGGCCAGAGTAGCACGTCTCAAGGGATGATGCAACCGAAAAGGTTTTTGGGCTGGGATTTAGATTATACTGTTCTTTGGCTTGGGGCTTGGCGTCAAGGGTTGAAGAATTTCCGGATGGCCGAGGTTTGTCTCCAGGCGGCCACTTTCAATCCACAGCACTGCTCCAACACGCTTTGGGCTTTTGCATGCCTGCGACGTGGCGCAATCCAAGCTCTTGCTTGTTTGGGATGCCGGATTTCAATGTCGAATGCAAACCTTCGGTCCTAAACAGCAATTGCTGAGAGACCAGTCCTCCCAAGCCCCAAATGTTTTTAGTGAACTGATGGTTGCTCCCTGGGTGGACTGTGGCCTCCAAACCCAACAATCCCCGTGCAGTACACAAGCTTTAGTATGCTGTGCAAAAGGAGTAGCGGCAGCTGTGCTCAATGTTACCTGCAAAAGCCGTTGCTGTCCGACTGAGTGTCACGGGTAAGGTGGGGCAGCTACAATCATCAAGCAGCGGCAATACTCATACTCACAAAATTGCCAGCTAATGCGACGCCAGGCTCTTCGGCAACACCATAGAATCACGAAAGAAGGGAAGAGCAATGATGATCGGAATTTATCTGCTGATAGAACGACCAAAACCGTGATCGCAACGAGACGCCGGCCTTAGTCATCGTTGCGGGCCATAGAGGGCCCTTGATGGGTTTGGGGATATACTGTAATATATTACGAGGGTACCAGGGTGCATTATTCAGACCTGTATACCAGAGTAAGAACTGGGGACTTTGGTCTTGGGTCCCAGCATGGTTTAACATAGGTTTTCGTGCCGGGCTTTAGGTGTTTGTGGCTTGAAGCTTATCGATTTGGTTTACTGCTTCGGGCATACGGGTTTCAGGGGGGGGGCGTAAGATTTTGGCGATGTGACTTCGCGTGTAGGGTTTAGGATGTCGACCTTCAGGTGTGCCAAACCGCTAGTTGTACAGATGTACCTGATGCAGGGGCTTAAAAAATTGCCAAAACTATTTTGGGGTTCCTTTATAAACCCTACTCTAATTATGAAGGCCCAGCTAGTTCTCATAATCTTTCTTTGTTGAGTCTGTTGAGGAGTGGCGGGTGGGGCCGCCTCTATGTCACCAGTTTTGGATTTCACCTTCTCAGCTTCTTCGGAGAATGTTTGAATTGATACCTTCACGCCAGACCCCAGGCTCGAAACCACGCGCCCAAGACTCTTGGTTTCAGGGCTTGGGTGGGGGCTAGAAAGCTTTATAACATGTTTGGGTCACTGTCAAGATCCTAAGAGCTAAAAGCCGGCACCCTCAGCTTGCATCCAGGTCGCTCTATGCCGAACCTGCATTGCAGGCCGTCTCGCGGAGGATTCAGAGAGACATTAGGAGCCCTGGCTTTGCTGAGCGTCTGAAGTTTCGGGCTTCGCGTTTGGACTTTCAGTTTTGGGGTTCACGGCATAGGTAGGGCTTGGGGTCTGTGGGGCATTCCCCCCCAATACCCCACAACAGCTGTGACACGCCCCAGAGCCCTCGTCGAATTTCTCAAGGCCTCAATACCGTAGAAACCTTTCTAGCAACCCGGACCTCAAAACGCCCTATTCGGGTACGGAATGGTCAAGACCGCTACTTTGGTGCCCTCCCCCCTTGTTAACGGACATGAGCCGAAACTCGGAGGAGCTCCGAGGCTCAGGATATTGCCAACGTCCTTTGGGCCTGCGCCAAGCTGAGCTACAAGGAGCCCTGAAAGTCTTTAGGACTTTAGGTGCAAGAGCTTCCCAAGCAGATTAATGCAGGTTCCACATCGGGCTTCCTTTGGCTGAAGCTCCATGACACGTAGCCCCGAGAAACGTTTCGAAATCCGTGAGCCGCCGTGAGCCCTGGCCCCGGGAGCTGTGAGGGAGGGAAATCCCTCTTTGTTTCGGGAGCGAAAGGACCCTGGCCTGCTGGAAGCCTTGCTGCCTGAAGCCCCTTGGTGGCCTCTGCGCATGGCAGCTTCGAGCTTCCACCCCTACATCTTTGTCTAGATGCTCAAAGCCTTACCTTAGGGGTACTTAGAAATATTTTTTAATTTTTGGTTATTATAATCCCTAAGAAACAGCTGTATCCATGGAGATCGCAGGTTGTTGAGTTGCACAGAGATTTTAGGGTGCTCGTCTCGAACCTGGAAAGGTTTGCAAAAAAACACCTTCAGTGCGTAGTCCCTCACCTTACCCTACAGAGCCCTCCATTGCCTTCCACCCGACTGCCTGTTTGTCTGTCTGCCTGCCCGTCTGCCTGCTTCGCTGTTTGTCTGCTTGGCTGTATGCAAGTAGGTGTGCATGTATGCATGCGGGTATGTATGTATGTATGTATGTAAGGATGCATGCATGCATGTAAGGATGTATGAATGTGCGTATGCCCATGTGTGCATTTGCACGTATGTGTGTCGTTCTACCTGCATGCATGTACATATGTCATGCGCCTGGGTGTGTCTCTAAATGCATGTATGTGAATGAACGGATGGATGAATGAATACATGTATTGATGTAAGTAGGCATGCACGTATGTATGTGTGTATGTGTGTGTGTGCGAGCCCACAGAACAAATATATGATGGTGGTGTTGATGATGATGATGATGTTGATGACGATAGTGATGATGTTGGTGCTGCTGGTGGTGTCGAAGATAACGAGGACGATGATGATGATGACGCTGATGTTGATGATGATGATGATAGTGATGGGGATGACCATTCTGAAGATAATGGTGACGATGATGATGGTCATGAGGGCGATGATACCGGTGATCGTGAGGCCGACGATAAACACATCTACAAACCTTCAAACAAACATACATCACGTACACAAACGCACACGCTGCGATATGTGGTTGTCGTTGTCGTACGAAAGCTGATATGTTTCCAGTTGGTTGGGCTTGAAGCTATCAGGCTATTCATGCTCGCACCTGCGGCACTGATGGCCTCTGGCTTGTGCCGTATGCACACGAGCATTCCTTTCTGCGGTTTTGCCCTTGCCTGTGCGCGTGGTGTGCATGTACGTGCATGTGCACACATGCAATGCAACCCTAAGCCGAATGCATTCCTTCAAGGCGAGAAAGAAGGCAGGCACCTTCCAACCACAGAATCTGTCGATCTCCGCCTTCTCTCTGGCCCAGCTCCGTGTCAGCGACCGGTCCACTCTGAGCCTTGGCGAGGTATGGCAACCCCAGGTTCCAAGGACCCAATCAGGTCAGAGGGCCCCACTCTCAAGGACAGTAAGTAGACACAGGTCCTGAAGCACTCAACCCTAATCAGCACCGCACCCTGAAGAACTGCTTTCGCGATCGTCTCAGGAAATCTTTTGCACAACGCTCACGTGTATGTTGAAGAATCTGATTCCGTGTTCAGGGTCACTTCTGGGGGCCATGGGACTAGGCTTTCGAGTTTAAGCCTTTTTCCCCAGTTTTCAGAGAAGCACAACCAGCAGGGAGTTGGTGCAAAAAGGAGTGGACCAGACTCGAGCACCTTTCTCCGCTGCTTTGCAACATCGGGTTGTTGAAGGTTGGGTTCCTAAGTGAATCTAGAGCAATCCGACCCTCAAACACACCACAGCCCTTGAACGCCGAAGCCGAAAGCCCTGGCTGGCGAGTCTTGAAGTCCCTCTACCCCTCAAACTCCGAACACCCTACATTCATGGTCTCTCAGCCAGAACGATCCCTGTCACGCCGTCAGGAGCCGGTTATTGGAGAGCTCTGCTATGCGCGTAGGTGGGCAAGCAAGAACTCACAACACTTGCGGGGTGTCGGGTTGGCATCGGAGCTTTTCGTTTTTGACTCGTAGCCTTCTTGCGGGATTGGGTTTCAGGGGTTCGTCGAGAGATGTCCACGAATCTGAAAGAGGCTAGGCTTGGTCCATTGGTTGTTCATAATAACTTTTCCAGGGTGACGATCAGTTTGGAGCTGCGTGCCACGCTGTGTAGCCTGTTCCATTCTAAAGTCTGCAGTATACACACATACACACAGATGCATGTAGGTATGTACGCACGTACGGATGTATGCATGCATGCATGTATGTATGTATGTACATATAGTGGTCTGTAATTTAATAGAATTAGTACTGCAACACATAATTCAATATTACAATATGTGAGAAAGAACGCTGTATTAAAGGCATATAAAAGAAGAACATCTGATACCGAACAAAATAACGTGGACGATATGACGAGAAAATACGGTATAACCTTTTAAAACTCCGTGTAATGTACTGGTAAGTCACATAATGTCACGCGATGTGACATAGTGTAACGTATGTTTGTATGTTTGCTGTATGTATGTGATACGACAGCTTAGTCGCCAGAATAGGAACACACAAAGGCATAATCGTTAAAACCCCCCCCTCCCCTCCCCACCTCGCCAACGTTATCCCCACCCTCGCTCGTGCCCTCAAAGGGTGCTGACCGTCGCAACGATTTCGCATTTCAGTGTTATAAAGTGGCAACGTGCGCAGCAGTTTGCAGTCGCATCGGATCGCGCCGGGCCTCAGCACGGTGTTGGTGATAGTGGAGACCATAGGTCGTGAGGATTATGGCAGCTGTGCTTTGGATGGTGGCTGACGATGAAAATGACGATGGCGGCAAGAGATGCTGAGAATGATGTTGATGATGATCCACTTGTTACCTGACGCGGCTTGCGACTGTTGTGGCGGTCTTAATCAACAGTACCGTGCACACTCGAGTTCCTGCAGCTGCAGCCGCGAGCCGTTGTCGAGACCTCACCTGGCAACTTGCAAGTGTGGTTCACCTCGGACGCAACCTCGTCATGACAAGCGGCTGTGTACGTCACCACGGCTGGCCATGCTATGCTTGGAGGTGCCGGCAGCACGGCGGTGTGTCATCAGGGCCTCATGCCAGGTAGTGTCAATGACAAGCCTTTCGCGGGAATCAGCAAGCACTTTGCGTTTTGCGGTTCCGCGGTGTCTTAATGAGAAAGAACTTCGTGCAGTAACATCCGCTCCCAAGTTTGCGGTGGAGGGCTGCAGAGGGGTGAAGGCATCTGCCCAGACTTTTTTGCCAGGCCCACGAGGCACCGCGACTGCTACGACTACTACTGCTACTAGTGCTACTAATACTACTACCAAAACTACTACTACTACTACTACTACTACCACTACCCCTACCACTACCACTACCACCACTACTACTGCTACTACTACTACTACTACTACTACTACTACTACTACTACTACTACTACTACTACTACTACTACTACTACTACTACTACTACTACTACTACTACTACTACTACTACTACTACTACTACTACTACTACTACTACTACTACTACTACTACTACTACTACTACTACTACTACTACTACTACTACTACTACTACTACTACTACTACTACTACTACTACTACTACTACTACTACTACTACTACTACTACTACTACTACTACTACTACTACTACTACTACTACTACTACTACTACTACTACTACTACTACTACTACTACTACTACTACTACTACTACTACTACTACTACTACTACTACTACTATACTACTACTACTACTACTACTACTACTACTACTACTACTACTACTACTACTACTACTACTCCTGCTACTACTACTACTACTACTCCTACTGCTACCGCTACTGCTACTACTGCTACTGCTACTGCTACTACTTATTATGATTATTGTTATGGTGCTGATGATGATGTGGATTGATCTTTGAAGGTGGTGCAAGGACAAGGCAGGGGGGACAAGGAACACAGGCCAGCCGTCCCCACTCCAGAGGGCGGGGAAGGCGACCCCACCCACAGGGCGGGGAGGGAGCAGCGGCAATATGTGCATGTGCACATACATCTAGGCAGATACACATAGCATTATGTGTGTGTATATGTATGTATATATATATATATATATGTCTTTTCACCGGTCTATGTTCTTATATGTGTGTGTGGTAATGCTCAACGGAGCAACATGTCAGTCATAGATGTTATGTAGATATAACCATGTGTGTATATATATATATATACATATGCATATATGCATATCTCTCTACATATATAAATATATGTGTATGTATATATATATATATATATATCTCTCTCTCTCTCTCTCTCTCTCTCTCTGTCCTCCTACCTATCTAACCATATTGTGGCAACTAAAGGCAGGCAGACCCTTCAGAAGAACCTTTTGAACACCCCTAGACAGCCTTTGTTACGAGGATCCTTAACCATAAACCTGAAGCCAGGCGAATTCGATGGACAGGGCCTGGCCAATCTCGGTCAAGCCATGGCGAAGAGTCTTGCCCGTTAAGGGCGCGGGCGTTTGGGTTCTACTATGAGCTTAAAATTTTTATAACTTGTCTACACAGTCAACAGATGTCCCGCAAGGTTCTTTCAAGGAGGCGTTCAGGCTGTTTTAGCTAGGATTTTGTCGGAGTTGCAGTTGTTCAATGACTTGTCGTTCAGCATTTAGCATGGAGGTTCTCGACTTTTGTTCGTAGCCTTCGCCTCAGGGCTGGTACGTGTAGGCTTGTGGTCTGCATGCTGCGAGAACATTTGCGACCTGGTGAGGGAGTCGCCGGGTCGATATATCCAGTTGAACAGGATCCCCAGTTTCCTGAACGTCACCGCCCTGTAAAACCCCCACAGCGCCAAAGCGAAAATTCGAAGAGTCGTTGGCCTTAATATACCTTCCGAAAACCCCAGAGCCTGCAATCCCAAATCCTAACGTCCCGGCTTTGGGGTTGAGGGTTTGCAGGACCTTCAAGATCAGAAAGTCTGGGCAACAGAGGAACTTAAGAAGAGTCATGACATAGAGGAAAGCGGAGAGACAACCGGCACGGCTTCGGTGAAGCTCTGCATCTTAGATTTGTCCTACCGAGGACCCAAGTCGTCCATGATGAGCTTCTACGCGTTCTGGTGTCTGAGTCGCTCAAAAGCCCATGGAAGTTTTCCTCGCAGGAGCAGTCGATACTGGCATGGGCCTTTTCCAGCCTGGCCGCCTTGCAAGCGAAAAAGCGGCGTGTGCGCCCAGATGGGTTTCAAGAATGGGACGTACCCAGAGTCACATGTTTCTTTCTCCCGAGTCTTTGCAACGTCTTGGCTTGCTCTAGCTGAACAAATTGTAGTAATCGAGCATGGTACAGTCTCCGTTGCTGCGCAGTCTCCACCAGCAGCCAGGGCCTAGATTCGAGTAGGCAGCTTGAGCAACTGCCCCTGGATCTTGTAGATCCTACGTGCGGGAAGAGAAGGGTCACGGCAAGCGTGATGGTGACTTAGTGTTCCACTCTGATTAGGTTCGGGGCCCAAGGCTTGAAAAAGGATCCGGTTTTGCATGCGGCCGGCACCAGAAACCTCAACACAATATCGGGGTTCGAGGGGTCTGAAGAATTACGCACATTGTCCTTGTAATCATTTTTTGCAAGCTGAAATCCTTGTTTCTACTCTATTTACCCGTCAACGATGTTCCATACCTCCGGTTCTTGGCCCGAGGCAAGGAAGTTCGCTTTCGAGCACTGGAACTCCAAATTGAAGCTGGAGCTTTGTCAGCAAGGTTGACGTCAGGGACGCAACGTGTGTCCATGGCTTAGGGCCTGGGTTATCGAATATGAGAGTAGAAGCAAGTAGCAATGATAGCAACAACATGAAAAACAGGAACAGCAATAGCCACTAGCAATGATAATGAGAGCTGAGGGCGAAGAAGATTGATGAGCGAAGACGAAGCACTGATGAGGGCCCGGAATGGGGACATATCCAACTCAGAAGTGTTCCGACCGACGGGTAGCATACAGGGCCTGAGGAGTTGGGTTTCCCGACTACATTGAGAGTCTAAAGCCAACACCACCCGGTCTCAGTCAAGCCTCTATAGGGCTTGCGGGTGTGTTTGCAGGTTTCCGGTGCAATGCAATTGCATCTAAGGACAAGAAGCTGCATCTCGGCCGCAGACACACAGGGATAGGAGATTGCATTATGCAGCTTGCGCAACCAGCCCCAAACATGGCCGCATGCTCAACTCGAGCGCCGTCAACAAAGCCCGACGGCCCCCTAAGCCATCGGAAGAGTGTCAAAACAAATCGCTTGTTGAGTATTTCGTGCTAAGTCGCTTTGAATCAATGTCAGGCCCTGATTGGGCTTTGTGCCTTTGCAGTATGTAATACAAGGGTGCACCCGTATGCAGGTTTACACTGTTCACACATGACATGCAGAGAGGAGCCCGAGGACAAACCAAACCCATCGAACATCACTATTATCAGGAAGTTGGGCTTTAAGCTGTCGCGCTTTGCAGCATGTGGATCTCTGTGCCAAGAACTTCAGCACCGGTTGGTGCAACTGAGAATTCCATGCAGCACGCAAAGTTGGGATTCAACTTCAACCGTTTCTGTTATGGACAAGGCGAGGAACGAGAGTAAAGCACAATCTCCCAACCCCAGTCTATCAACCGCCTGCAGTAGCGAAGGCTTAGCAATACTTGAAATCTTCAGACGGTACATGTTGGCTGAAGCACGCATGTGAGGGGAGGTGAGAACAGATGGCTGTTTGGAGCCGTCCTTTCTTTCTGGGATACTTGTAGAAGGGAGCCCTAAATGAGGAGTTCGAGTTTCTAGCTGTTTTGTATCATCCTCGTTTGCTGGGGTCCATCTGGATTAGAACCCCAAGTTAAGATTTCAGAGGCCTTCAGAGTTAGCATCCCTGCCGCCACAGGGACATCTTCCGCAAAGTCCGAGAAAAGGCCGCCGCTGGGGTTCCTGATG